GGTTTTTTTTGCTCTGTCGCCTGGAAGATGTTTTAATTCACCCTGGGTGCTCAGAGGCTCAATTAAAAATGGTATTTCTGCCAGGCAAAAAGCTCTCGATGATACGCAGGCGCCACGCGTGGCACCAACTCATCTTTAATTATTTAGGATTCCTTCGCTCTGTTTATTTATTTGTGGCTTAAACTGTGGCGCCCGCTTCCTCCTCCTGCCCAACTCACCCCCCACCCCCCGGTGACCGTAATTCTGCATTCCCCTCCTTGTAAATATATATATATATATATTATAAGCTCGCATCAACCAAAAGCACAGAAAACTTTCTGTAGATTCAGAAGACCAGAGTTAACTTTGGCTAGCTCACATCCCAGAGATCAGCCGAATTTTTTCTCGAAGCCCAAACTTGGCCTCTCATGCGAATGGAACTTGGCACATGCTCAGAGGCCTTCTTCACACACACACACCAAAGGACAAGCTGAATTCGCCGGCGAGTCTAATCTCGGTTTCATTGGATTCCTCTCGGCACAGATATCCTCCGGGCGCGTCAAGAAGTCGCCTCGCGAAACCCCAGCAGCATAGAGCCTCACCTTTCCTCTGCCAGCAACTCGTCCAGCCAGCGCAGAAAACAAGGACTTCCGCAGCACCGGGATTCACACTTCACCGAGAGGTATCTCTTACCTTCTTCGTACAGGTAGTCCTCGCCTTACGACTGTTCAGAGTTACGACAGAGCTGAGAAAAGCGATTTACAGTCGGTTCTCACACTTACGGTCACGACCGCCATTTTAACCCACATTTTTTTAATGCCGTCGTTAAACGAGACACCACAAGATGACCCTTGGCGACCTTCCTCGGTGGGGAAGCCGACAGGGAAGGTTGCCAATCGTCCCCTTGCGATGTCTCGCTTAACGACCACATCAAAAAATGTGGGTTAAAAATCAAGCACGGTCAAATGAGGCCTCGCTTCATGACCACACTGCTTAACAATTACCTTTTCCAGTCCTGGGGATGACGGTCGTAAGTGGAGGACTTTCTTTCTCTGTAGCCCTTTTGCAAAACTGGGAAGCGGTGCCAAGGTCTGGGGCTGGAACCTAGCCAAGAAACGGCAGGGAGATTTATGGCGTCTCCCTTCCTCCGGGAGGTGGGGGGTAATGCACATGGTGTGTGTGTCTCTGTGTGTGTCTGTGTGTGGAAGCCGCTTGGCGTGGTGCTAAAATTCCATTTCAGCTTCCTGTCGGACTCCGCAGGGAATTTGATCAGCAACAGGGAGGCTTATTGTGGCAGGAAGAATAATTAGCTGCTGAAAAATTCAGCCGTTTGCTGGAGGCAGGGAAAGGACGATCCCTTCGTGGGTTCAGCCTGCAGATGGGATCGGGAGGGGGGGGTGGATCCTAGCTAAGAAGGGGCTCACAATTGGCTCTGGAAAGCAAGCAGAAATGGCCCAAATCCAGCTGAATCTTGCCTATTTTAAGAAAAAAAATGTAAAAATATCTCAGCATCCTTGCCCAGAAGCCATTGAGTGTCCGGGAGAAGAGAATAGCAGGCTTTGCTGGTTTTGGAGACTCTGAACCGACAAGAAAGCTGCCTTTCAAATAGTCCTCGACTTACAACAGATCCGTTCAGTGACC